CTCTAGGGTAGATGGATGTTCAAGAAGAAGGCGGTGGTGAAGGAAAGCAAGAGACAGGAAAAGGAATATTGTGGGACTGTCCTGCTTCAAGGTTGTATATGGTGAGATTTTTGGACTTATGTGCAAACATGAGAAGCATAGAATTCTTTATCCTATTTTTTAAAATATAATCTAATTTTTAAATGTTTTTTTATCATATTATGTAGGGACTTAAAGTTCAACATATCAATACTTGATGAAAAATACCTGTTCCTTATTATGCCTAAGATGTTTGAAATGCAGTGAGATAGTGAGGTTAAGATTGATAGCCCAAATCGTTTGATAATAACAATAAGCTTTTCTTCTGGATGGTTAACAACCTAAGTTTGCAGACCAAATTAGAGAAAAAGGAAGGATACAAGGAAAGCCAACATTTTGGCCCTAACCTTCTAAGGTCAATTAAGACTCAGGACATATGAGAACTTGTACTGTAATGTCATGTACCTCGGTAGTGTCCCAAATTTTCTGATCAAGAAGATTATGGGGCCAAAGAGGAAAGTGATCGATGACGTAGAGTGTGCCTAAGGAGAGTCACATGGGGAGAAGACACTCTCTCAGGCTTTCACAGAGAGCACACTGGCCAAGCAATGGCCGTGACTCATCCACATGGCTGCACTGATGAAGGTTCTACAATCTGAGGTACAGGATCTCAGGACAAATCCTGAGGGCATTTCACTGACCTTCTCAGACCAAAAAGCTACAACTCTTGTTGCATAGGTCCTGCTTTACCTTGGTCTTAACCATCCAGTAGAAAAGTATGAAGTCGAAATATAAGAAATAAAGCCATGCTGTTAAGTTGAGCTGTGGGGGACTCAGGTCAATAAATTCTGACATTGCCAGTTTAAAAAAAAAAAAAAAAAAAAGTGTTCCTCAAGAGCACAGGGTTGGAACCTTAATTCCTCAGGGCCTAGTGCTGGGAGGGGGGCCCGTTGGGAAGTGTCTGGGTCTAGGGACCAGCGCGCTTGGAGTATGGCTGCATTTTCTTTTTCTTTTTCATTTAGTATAGTACAGGGTCTAGAGGGTACTACACAAATTGGACTCAGTGATTCTCCTGTTTTAAGCCTCCCAAGAGCTGGGAGCTGGGATTACAGGCCTAAACCACTAGGCCCAGTGCTCCGGGGACAGGGTCAGCACGGCTTGCCAGGGATCAAACCCAGTCCCTCTGTCTGCCTAAGCAGATGCTTTAATTCACTGAGCTATCTGGCCGGCCCTCCATTTTCTTTCTTCCTCAGCATGTGCTTGCTGTTCTGCCATGAGGCCCTCACCAGAAGTCAAGCAGTTGCTAGAACAGGCTCTTGGACTTCCCAGCCTCTAGAACCATGAGGCAAAGTGCTTTTCCTCCTTTATAAATTACCAAGTCTCAAGAATTCTGATACAGCAATAGGAAATGGACAAAGACAATGCTTCTTGGGCTGGGGAGATAGCTCAGAGGCCGAAGTGCCTGCTTGGCCAGCACAAGGACTCAGGTTCAATCCTGAGTGCTGCATGCAATGCATGCCACACGTGGTGGCGCATGCCTGTAATCCTAGCACCCGGGAGGCTGAGAAAGGAGGATCACTATGAGTCTGAGCTATGTGGTGAGACCCTGTACCAAATAAATAAATAAAGAAAGACAATGCTTATTACCTAAAAAATAGGTAACATGGGAATTATAAACATCAAATCCAAGACAGAGAGGATTCACATTAAAAAAAAAAAAAAAAAAAAAGACAAGTGCTGGCTATCTTAAAAAAAAAAAAATTTCAGGCCAGTTGCTACCTTTGTGGAATAGGGAAGGAGAAGCAAATGGGGAAGGGCCCACAGGATGCCCACTGTATCTGTATTTCTTAAACCAGAAGAGAGTATATGCATGTGTATCCATCAGTGTTCCCTTCATGTTCAGAAACAGTTCACCAATCTTGAATGTATGGAACAATAAGTTACAGCTAAGCCCTGAAAAGGAATGCAAAGGTAATAGTAAAGAGACAAGTTTACAGACTTAAGTTGATCATGAAGATGCCCCTCACCTGAGCCAGACCCCAGTTCCACCCCACACTCTGGGAATGAGAGTGAGGGCCTTGTAGTGCTTTTTGTTTGTAATACATATTTTGTTTCAATTTTCATTTATTTCAGCCAATTTCATTATCAGCTATTCTATAAATTCATTTCTTCATTTGATGACCAAACACTTCCCATTTTGATAAAATAACATTTGTGAGGCTTTTTCACAGGTTCAGAATGTGTTTTACTTTAAAATAATCACAAAGATTCTTACTGACCTTGCTGGATTGCTGAAATTAGAATGTATTATCACCATTTGGGGATATAAGGATTTAATGTCTGCAGGAGCTTCAACCTACTGAGCGTATTTTTTCCAGACACTATGTTTTCAACTCTTACTAAATTATCTAATTGCGTGTGTATTCTCTTTACCTAGATGGAAGAAACCTGCCAGACAGGTCCTTCTCATAACCTCAAATTTAGAAACCCCAAAGAATCAGTTTTTTTGTAGTGTCTGATGACTGTCTCTGCTCTTTGGATAGCATGTTTCTAATGCTTTGGTCTTTTCTTTAAAAAAAAAAAAAATAATTAAAAATCAAAGCTGTGGAGGACCATCTGGATAACTCTTTTTTTTTTTTAAATTTGTGTGTGTGTGTGTGTGTGTGTGTGTGTCTGTGTGTGTGTGTGTGGCCAGCTCATCCCACCAGGGGGTGGGGCTGGCTGGCATGTGGTGCTGGGGGATTGAACCACGGTCCCTGTGCTTTGCTTGGCTTAGCTTGTTCTAAGTAGGTGCTTTAGACCACTGAGCCATCTCACCAGCCCCAAAGAGATTTTTTTTTTTTTCTTTTTGCGGAACCGGGGATTGAACTCAGGCCCTTGCGCTTGCCAGGCAAGCGCTTATTCTACTGAGCCATCTCCCTGGCCCAACTCTTCTTGAAAGAAGAGCAATTATTTCCATTTTGGCTAAACCTGGCCCTATTTCCATGCATTGAAGTGTACAGAGCTGGTTAGGACTTTTCTTTATCCCTTCAACTGGCTTTAAGTAATGCAAATTGGTCCAACCAGGGTGCCAATGTGTAGACTTTGAAGTAAAGATGTGTCCCCGCCTGCCACCCCATAGCTCCCAAGCAAAACATGTGTGAGTCAGGGTAAGGCAGGATGGACAGCTGTGCTCCATGCTGGGTCCAGCATCAAAATAAGGGGCTATGACTTCCCAGGCATAAAAGACTACAGAGCTGAAGCACCACCCCCAACATCACATACTACCTCAATTGTGTCACCCAAATCACTCTTTCTGTATATCTTTCTGCATATTGTAAAGGTGATTTCAGGCTTCCCACCTAGCCCAGCTCACCTTCTTCCTGTCATTCTCATTCATCCTCAAGCCACTCCTTTCTTCACAAATTAATAAAACTTGGATCAACCTGGGTCAAGGTCTTTGTTCCAGCTAGCCATCATTGTAACTGGACTTAGGCCCCCTTGGCTCCCCATAACTACAAATATGCCTTAATACCTTTATTCTTACCATGGGTTTCACTGGAAGTGGCAGACTGGAATTTACTCACCAGAATTCCAGTAACATCTCCATGGGATTACAAATATGAACTTCCTGGGCTGTGATGAGAACCAGGAAGGGCTCTCTATAAAAGCCAATAAATCAACAAAACCAAAATTCCATGCCTACTGCCAACAAAAAGTATTAAAAAATGTGATAATACAAAGTCCACACAAAGGGCCCAGGGTAAATTATAGATCTTACAGTCTTTTATTTACACTTCAACTGAAACTTGCTCGCTGTCCTGTTAATCATAGAGATAGGACTCACATCACTTTTGCTAAAGTGAACAAAAGGTCAGTGAACAGCAGAATTTTCACTCTGAACCAAAAGGTGGAAAGGTGAAAGCATGAACACAATCCCAACAAATTTACTCTGTGCAAACAGCGGCATCTAGCAAGTTAGATTTATTCTTTCACAAGACCACCTAATCTGATTACCAGGGAGTTAGTCCAATTCAGAGTTCAGTTCTCACTGTACTTCATACTGAGTAGATTTTTTTGTTTGTTTTTTGATGATACCAGGGATCGAATTCAGGACCTTGCGCTTGCTAGTCAAGCACTTATTCCACTGATCTAGCTCACTAGCCCCTATATTGAGTAGTTTTACCAGTGACTTTTTTTTTTGAACCAGAAATTGAATTCAAGGCCTTTGCACGGAGCTGCATCCTCAGACCTTGTTTTATTTTTCTAGATGTGGTCTTGCTAAGTCACTAAACTATCCAGAGTGGGTTAGAATCTGCCATCCTCCTGTCTCACCCTCTCAGAGCGCTGGATTACAGGTGTGTGCCACCTATCAGTGATTCTGTTAACACCGGAGTAGATACAAGGCCCCAGGAATTGACGACTTATCTGTGTGTGCTGCCAGGGTTGAAGAGGTTCTGCCGGGAACTTGTAAATCCAAATTACAATGGTGTTATTCTGGTACTAGAATATCCTCCTTAAGTATTAACCCATGCCACTAGCATGAGTACAAAGCCTGGGGTCCTCAGTTTGGGTGGTAAAGCAGCTTTAAAAAGCACATTTAGTGCTTAACTTGTCCTAAGATGTTGAGGGAGGTTCCAAGCAACTATATTTCAAAAAAGCTTTCCAAGGACACTGATGCAATGAGGGTAGAGACTGTTGTGCAAGTACTGATACAAACAGTACCACATGGCGCTGAGGAGTGCAGTCTGCTTCTCAGAGGCAGCAGGCATTGCACCAAGGACTGTTCAAAGTACAGAAGGAGTGTTTTCCATCTTTCTGGTGTGTCAATTTTATTTGGTGGTTAAGCAGTTTAAAATGTCATTTTTTTTATTTTTAGGTTGTAGTACATAACTGTGAAAACCTCCCTGATATTGAAGATCTGTGCACTTACTATACTTTAATGTTATTTTTATATTAAAATATGAATACAGTTTGTAGTAGATTGCAAAATCTTCACTTACTTTTTAGATGAATTCTGTAACTTCAAAGATATCTCCTTCTTAGATGTCTCCTATATCCAATGACATGACAATTTTACTCTGCTTACAGTGGGGAGAGTTCTTGAAATATAGAAAGCAGATTTTTTGGAAGGTCCCAGAACCAGTCTGAAAAATCCCTGGATTTAGAAATCCTTTCACTTCCAAGCTTCTTATTCATTTCACCACCTACTCTTGTCTCTTTGTCTCCTATCACTGGTCTTTTTGCTTAACAAAACTTCAAATCCTCAAGAATTTAAACGTTCCTCTCATATGACTGGAGGTGTTCTAGTTTTTTCTTCAATTTTTGGTGGCATGATTTTTTTAGGCGGATTTCCTATTAACGTTTATATTGTTACTGAGGAGGTGGTCTAACTACTGAAGCACAGCGCCAGAAATCACACCGCACAACCGTCCTCACCAAAGTTGTTCTAAAACCCTGTGGTGCGGGGAGGAGTTGTAGGTGAGGACTGAATAAAATAACTGAAAAAAGGAAAACAAAGGAACATTTTCCTTGCTTTGGAAAAACACTGCTGGAGAGTAACGTGGGTTAGCGCAAGAGTTGGCTCAGTGGAGGCCTTACGGGCCTAAGGGTAGGTAGGTAGAGGATTAGAGTCTGAAGTAGAGTGTGTCCAAGGACTCTGGTAAAGTAATCTCTGGCTTGAGTGCTGGGGGTCATTTATAAAAAGAGGGTGAACAGTATGCCTCTGAAATGCACTTAGGTAACGTGCTTTGCTGTGGTTTACAGCGTACAACCCCACAAAGTTATGAAACCAGAGGTCATACCACTTTGACAACACTCACCACCCAGCTCTATTCAGGAACCCTCCAGCCCACCCGACCGCAGCCTTCACCCGCCCAGCGGTGGGCGGAACCGGAAGTCCGCGCCTGAGCCACGCCCCTCTCCCCTCAAGGGCTCAGCCCGCCTCCAGCTCCCGGAACGCGCATGCGCACCTAGACCTTGACAATGCCGAAGGGCGTGGAAAAAGATTAGGCCTCATAGGTTCGCCTTCTTACCTGCTCGGCGCAGGCTGCATCTCGCTGTTAGTTACTCCTCTTGACACTCTGAACCCGTGAAGAGAGGAAACAGGACTGGGGTGCACTCTTGGGGAGAAAGGGCGTGTCCTTATGCGCACCTCAGTGTGAACGGACCGGCATAAGCCCCGCCCTCTCCTACGTTACGTAACGTGATTGGCTGTCCTCTGTTAGGGGCGCGGCGTGCGGCGGTTTTTGAAGGTTTGTTGTTGTTTTTTTTTTTCCCCCCTGGGTGATTGTTAGTTGGCTGTTTCAGCTACGAGGGAACCTTGAACTTTTACGTGGAAGATGCCTGAGAGTAACTTTGCGAAGAGCAGCGTCAGAAGCGAGGAGGAGGTGTCTGATGCGAAGGGCAATGCTCAGACCCTGAAAATACAACTTTGTGGAGGGAGAAACCCCTACGGTGGCCGGCAGGGGCCAACGCGTTGTCTTAGAGACAAGAAGCGTGAGGGACGTGGAATTCTGGATTTTTCTTTTTGGTGCCCAAGCGGAGTGAGAAAGTAGAGATCCATGCGGACTTGGGCGTTTTATTCCCCTCTTGAACCTCCAGAATGTGCTGTACATGTTTGGGGTTGTAGGACTCCCAGTGACCGAAATTGCCTTTGCCACCCAGGAGCTGGGCGTCAGGTACATCGGGAGAAGGAATGAGCAAGCGGTGAGAGCAGACGCGGGTAGCTGAGGGCATTATGGGAATGTTCGATAGTAGTGGCAGCCACACACTGGAAACACTCAGCCCTTACCATTGTGGTGTTTGGTATAAATAAGTCACTTGATTATTTTAGCTGTTGTTAATCCTAGTTGACTGACAGGTAAGAAAATGACATGCAGAGAGATTAAGTCAAACTTGTCCAGATGATTCAGTTGGGAGTAATAAAGTCAGGTTTTGAACTCAGATACTCGGGGTCCCGGTCCTTGTGCTTGCTGTTGTTTGTCAGAATGGTAAAAGACAATTTCTTTCTTTTTTTTAAAGAGAGGGTCTCACTTTGTAGTGCATGCTGGCCTTGAGCTCACTATGTAGCCCAGGCTGGCATTGAATTCCTGCCTCAGTCTCCTAAGTGCTGGAATTGCAAGTATTAACCACCATGCCCCGCTCTGGAAGAGACAATTTCTGAGTGAAGTCCAGGGCTGTCCACATCCACAGCATGTGTAAGTCCTTCCCCACAAGGCTCCTAGAGGAATACTCAGTTGACCCCATGGCGTCTGTAGGCCAATCTCAAGTCCACTGATAGCAGCCTCCTGGCTGCATAGGCTCCAAATGCAGGAAGGATTAAGGCCCCTTCCATTACTTCAGGGCCGGGCTCCATGGGTGGAATACACAGACCAGCCGTGCTTCCAGGAGGCAATCCAGTGGGCTAGTCATTGAGCAATGGAACTGCCTTGGGTAAGATCTGCACCACTCTACTTCTGGGATGGCCTGTCCACATCCACACCTAGCCCTTGGTAGAGTATTCTGTCTGTACTTTTACTGTCTGTTGTCCTGTTCTGCTTTCACAGGGATGCAGAGCATCACACACTGCTGCCAGCTGTTTCTCAAACAGGGAATTCCAGCTCTTGACTCCCTTCCACAACTGTGACCAAAACCCAAAGGGTGTTGTGCATTCTCCTGTTTTTGCCATGGGCCTCAGCCAAACCCATCATCAGTCACACTGATGGTTAACATAACTAGAACGTTAAGGTCAGTGACTCTAGGGCTTACACCTATACAACAGCCCGGAGTCCTGAAAAGCAGCATATGCTGTGTCTATGCAGTCTCATGTAGCCCCTTTCCGGATCAGCCAGTATAAAGGGAACAGCAGGGCAGCTAGGTGTAATATGAATGTCTGCCAGAACCCTAGCAAGCCCACATACTCCTGCAGCTGGAGTACTGTCATGGGTCTGAGGTATACTTGGATCTTATCAATAACTGCTTTGGGAAGGTTGGGAGGATAGCTCTGTAGGCTAAGCGCCTGCCTGGCAAGCACAAGGACCCGGGTTCGATCCCGGGTACCACATGCCATGCCAGTCCCAGAGCCATTCCAGGCACCAAAAGGAGGTGTGATGGTACGTGCTTGTCATCCCAGTGCTAGAGAGGCTGAGACAGGAGGATCACACCAAGTCTGAGCCGTGTAGTGAGACCTTGTACCAAATAAATAAATGATAGATTAATTGATTAAAAAATAACAGATTTAGAAATTATTTTCATCTTATCTAACCAGATAACACCAAGAATTTGACAGACAAGCCTTATTTTCCTTCATGGTGTACCCCATCCCATGAAAACTTCCTTCAGGCTGTGCATGGAAGTTTCCAAATCTGCCAGGCAGTAAGAGAGTAACATAATATCATCAATATAATTGAACAGTAACACAGAATGTGTGGCTTAATCTAAGTGGCCAAGTTCTTGGCCACTAGGCCGTGACACAAAGTTGGGCTATGCAGATAGCCTTTCACAACACCTAGAAGATCCACTGCCTACCCTTGCAGGTGAAGGCAAATTGATATTTACTGTCAGGTACAATAGCAGTAGAGAAGGCATTAGCCAAACTCATGACATAATAGTGTTGACCCAGCATCAGGGTGAGACAGTCCATTGGGTCTGCAATGTCAGGCATTGCTGTGTGCAGCAAAGTTGTCACTTTATTCAGTCCTGGTAATCCAGAGTCATTCTCCATATGCCATCCATCTAGCTTCCACACTGGCCATACCGGGGAGTTGAGAGGGCTCTGTGCAGGGTGTGTCACACCTGCTTCTTCCAATTTCAAGAAAGCCTGACCCCTTGCTTCGTGATCTCCCAGCAGCCAGTACTGCTTCACACACACAACCTGTGTGGCCTGCAAGAGTCAGTGCTGCGTGGAGTAGACAGCCTTGGACTACAGTTTTTACCATGCAGATCCACAACCTGAATTCTCGCTGCATGGCATTGAGCCAAGCACCCGTCAGTATGTCGGTTCCCAGTATGTATTCAGCACCCCGGGAAATGTAACATCATATGGGCGATGGGGTAAATGCCTGATACCCAGAGCCACCTGGGCCTTCTGGACTGTGATGTGGGGACCTCCATACCTTTGTATGCATGCAGGAGCTCCTGTAAGACAGTCTGAATTGCTAGTACCTGCTGCATATTTTATAGGGGCTAGTAGACAGTCAGTTCCATGTGTGGCCTCTGGTCTCCCGGTACCCCTCCTGGCCCTAGCCCATTGGCTGGAATTGCTGCTCAGGGCATAACTGCCTCCACAGAGTCAGCAACACATCCAAACTGTCCAACTGATTTATCTGCAGCCAGATCGGCAGCCAGCAGGTCTGTTTAGATTTGGCGCTGGCCAACCTTCAGTGGCCTATCTTTGGGGAGATGGTGCTGCCCACAGGGCACCCCTCTTCCTTTTCTCCTTTGCTGGTATAGTTTCTACAGATTTCACCTTACCTTGGCATTTCACTTCCACGTCTCCCAGCCTGGCCGAGGCATCCGCAGCATCATGGATTGGGCAGTCTGTAAAGAGGGCTAGAAGGGACACCACTAACCTGAATGTGTCAGCTGCTCCACTCCCAGGTTCGTGTCCTTCATGAGTACAATTAGCAGTTCTTCATCTGGGCTGTGATACGGCAGTTTGAACATCATTTGCTTCATGCCCATTTTATGGAGTGCAATTATCAAGTCTAGATAGCTTGTCCATTTAGTGACTTGCTCTGGCAGGGGTCACCTGGATTCTCCCAAGCCACTGACACCAACCAGTTTATCACAGTCTGATTACCTGCTTCTGGGGCTGTCCTGTACACATTCTTTTTGTGTGTGTGTCGCCAGCACAACCAGCCCTGGGGGCGGGGCTGACACAGCATGTGATGCCAGGGATCAAACCGCGGTCCCTGCGCTTGCCTAAGCTTGCCTAAGCAGGCGCTTTAGTCCACTGAGCTATCTCACCGGCCCCTGTCCTCTACACATTCAATAGAGCCTGTCTCACAGTGGAGGTGCTGGATATGCTAGCCATTTGGGACATTGCCTGTGGGTTTAACTGCGTGCTAGCAGCTCCATCATCCCACAGCAATAGCAGCCATGTGGGCACTGTCGCACCCACCTTTCACTTTGTTTTGTTAGCTCCTTGTAGCTTCTTGGCCGTATAGATTGTGTCTGTTAGACTGTGTATGTTGTGTGTTGGGTAGAGGTAGGTGGCCCTCCTGGTCCTCATCCTGGGCTGAGAGTTCCTCCATCTCCACCTTTTTAAATTTTTTTTTATGGCTGGCTGAGCCTACCCTGGGTGTGGGGCTGGCATGGCATGTGGTGCCTGGGATTGAACCACGATCCCTGGGCACTTGCCTAAGCAAACATAAGGGAGACAGACTAGTTCTCTGAAGCCATTGTCACTGCTTCTCCTCCCATGTGCTCTTCCTGTTTTGCTATCTCCATCACCATGAGCGGCTTCCCTCTGCCACGTGGAGTCTGAGTATGGACTGAAACAGTTTCTTGTGGAAATGGGCATCAGAAGTGTCGCCACGTAGCAGCAGATGCAGACGGATTTGGTTCTTGTCCTCAGCTGGATTGTGACACAGAACATCACAATGAAGGGGTCTTTCTAAACTGAAGTCCTGGGACGCATCGGGCATTGTTTCCTAACTTTCTCAAGGCATGTGGTTGTACGAGGTATTTCATCCATATTGAAAATTCAGGCTAATATGTAGTCTTCGTTTGCATTTAACTTTTGTATTACTGCTGGAGGTTCTGTTGTAGCTTTTTGTGTCTGCGCTTGTCTGGTCATGAAGGCTTTGGGAATTTTAAAGGTTACAGAAGCCACCAAGTTATCCATTTCTATTACTAAAAGCCATTTTTTCTGGATTTGGTGATATTTCGAGTTTTTGTAGCCAGGAACGATGGTGCATGTCTGTAGTCCTTGTACTCTAGGAGGCTGAGGCATGACGATTCCAAATTCTAGCCCAGCCCGGGCAACTTAGCAACTTAGCAAGACCCTGACTCAGAATAAAAATAAGAATGGCTGGGATTTGGCTCAGGGTGACTGCCTGGGTTCAGCTCCCTAATTGAAAAAGAAATAAGGTATTTGTGTTGCATTTGCTCTCGTTGGGAGATCCATTGTCCCTGATTTTTCACTGTTGTGTGTATTTTTATGTATCTTGGTACAGCTAGGTATAGTTGTCTGTGTTTACCTAGCTGGGTTTCTTAGGGATGAAATCACGCTTTAAGAAACATGAAATTCAGCTTTTGCTTATTTTGTTC